TTCTGTGCATTCATCACAGCCTCTGAATCACTGTACCTTCTGTAGAGAACCCCAGACATTTTGGCATTAAGACATTTATTTCAATTCAATTATTTAAAAATAAGAGATTGCATATATGAGCAGGTATATATGTTTCTTGTAACTACTACTCCATCAAGGGGGAAAAAGTGTACCAGGTTTAATGTTGTATCCTGGCAGCTGTTGTCCAGTCCTACAGTCCATTATCAGAGGTCAGGATGCCTCTGGCAGCCACTGCCAAGCTGGGCCTGTCTGCCCTTTTAGCAATGTTGACACATGAAAATTCAGAGGTCAGTTTTACCAAAGTCATTTATAGGAGACAGATTTTAAAACTAGAATTTATATTTGGCACAGTGACTGTTCAAGCTACAGAACAACTGATAGAGAACAGGGCATCTGTCTGTGGAAATCTGCCTGGGATTTCAGATTAAGCTCAGAACATTTGTTCAGCAAACATCAAATCACAGGGATTGGGGTCATCCTCAGGAACAGCTGCAATCCAGTTTCACTAAAACCTGGTGGGTCACACACTGTCTTGCAGCCCCCGAACCGTCTGAGCAGTGGTGGTATGTGTGAGTAAGTGGGTACTATACTGAAAGGGAGGAAGACAGTTGATGGCAAATAGCTATTGATGGAATGCTTACAGAGTAGGGATTCTCAGACTTGAGAATGTGTAAGAACTACTGGGAGAAGTTATTTAAAAGGCAGGTTCCTGGTCCTCACTCAGAAATTCTGATTCTATAGATGTAGATGGAACCCAGGAGTCTTTGTTTTTAACAATTTCACTTAGAAATTCTATTGCAAAGATCCCTTGGACCACCTTTGGAGAAATCTTGTTATAAAATATGATTTCTTATGCAGGTAAGCGGAGAAAGCACCCACAGACCAGGATCACCCACCCTAGAACACAGCTCTAAAAAGAATAAAGGTGGGCTGCTTGGATGGGTTCCTGCAGGAACCCAGAGACAGTTTTGCTACAGGGATTCTTAATGATGGGATTCTACTAGTGAATAAATAATTTGTAGTTCTTCCAAGTCAAAATACCAAAAGGGGTACAGAACCAATGTGAAAAGAAATGTTTTATCAGGAAGGAATTACTTGTATTTTCAGGTGCTTGGAATGTGCACTTGAGATGTTCCTTACCTGGGCTGGCCCCGTTGCGCACTTGGGAGAGTGCGGGGCTGGGAGCGCAGCGACGCTCCTGCCACGGGTTTGGATCCTATATAGGACTGGCCGGTGCGCTCACTGGCTGAGCGTGGTGCGGGCAACACCACACGAAGGGTTGTGATCCCCTTACCGGTCACGAAAAAGACAAAAAAAAAAAAAGAGAGATGTTCCTTACCTAAGGGGACTCTGGCAGGCACAGCTCTGCGGTCGATCCAGAAGGACACCCAGGACAGCATGACCATCAGCGTGGCGGGAAAATAGGTTTGGAGCAAGAAGAAGAAGATGTGGCGACGTAACGTGAAGTTAATGTACAGACGGTTGTACCAGCCTGGGGGATAAAGAAGAAAAGACAGCACACATCATAGCTCCTTCATAAAGCAGATTTTATTCAGGGAATCATAAATGCCTCAGACACCACACTGGACCCTTACCATGCCTCTGTAAGGTAGAAGTGAGGAGAATCATGAACTGGGTGATTGTATGGGAACCCACACCCCCTGTGTGAATCCATCTCAAGAAACCTTTGGCTCCTGTTCTACACACCAAGGGAACCCTTTGAGAATGTCATTTAAGCTCTTGTTACTCAAAATATGGTCTAAAGTCCAGCAGCCTCACTATCATCTGGGAGCTGGTTAAAAATGCAGACTCTCAGTAATATTGAATATACTAATTATCCTGATTTGAGGATCACATATTGCCTACAGGTATTGATATCCAATGTGATGCCCCACAGTATGTACAATCAATTATGTTTCAATAAGGAAAAAAAAAAGAAAAGGAATACAAACTTTCGGGCTACAGCCCAGACCTACTGAATCAGAATCTCCAAATTAACAATATTCTCCACAGGGTTCATTTGCACATCAGAGTCTGAGAAGCATTGATTCAAACAACTCCCTTTGGATTTCTTTATGGCGTGTGCAAGAGTTCCAACTTCTCCACATCCTTGCCAATGCTGTTTTCTGTTTTTCTGATAGGAGCCATCTAATGGGTGTAAAGTGGTATCTCATTGTAGTTTTGATTAGCATTTCCCTAAAGGTGAATGATGTTGAGCATATTTTTATGTGCTTCTTTGCCATTTGTTTATCTTCTTTGGATAAATATCTGTTCAAGTCCTTTGCCCATTTGTGTGTGTGTGTGTGTGTGTGTGTGTGTGTGTTGTTGAGCTTTAGAAGTTCTCTGTATATTCTGGATATCAATCTCTTATCAGACATATGATTTGCCAATATTTTCTCCCATTTTGTGGGTTACCTTTTACTCTGTTGATAGTGTCTTTTTTTTTTTTTTTAAAGATGACCGGTAAGGGGATCTTAACCCTTGACTTGGTGTTGTCAGCACCACACTCACCCAGTGAGCTAACCGGCCATCCCTATATGGGATCTGAACCCATGGCCTTGGTGTTATTAGCACCACACTCTACCGAGTGAGCCATGGGCCAGCCCTGATAGTGTCTTTTGGTGCAAAAAATTTTTAATTTTTTATGAAGTCCAATTTGTCATTTTCTTTTGTTACCTGTGCCTGTTTTTTAACTTTTCCAGGACTTCCTTGTGTGTGCAAGTTTCCTGAGGCCCCTCTGTTGTACCTGAGAGTCTCAACCACCACATGAACTTACAGTGGTGGGCAATTGTTGTTAAACTTATTTTTGCCAGGAAATCCTTTCTTCAGTGGAAATTGTATTAGAAGAACAATAAAAAAGATTAAAAATGAGCTCTCTGGATAGACTCTGTGTGTGTGTGTTGTTGAGCTTTAGAAGCTCTCTGTATATTCTGGATATCANAAAGACAGCACACATCATAGCTCCTTCATAAAGCAGATTTTATTCAGGGAATCATAAATGCCTCAGACACCACACTGGACCCTTACCATGCCTCTGTAAGGTAGAAGTGAGGAGAATCATGAACTGGGTGATTGTATGGGAACCCACACCCCCTGTGTGAATCCATCTCAAGAAACCTTTGGCTCCTGTTCTACACACCAAGGGAACCCTTTGAGAATGTCATTTAAGCTCTTGTTACTCAAAATATGGTCTAAAGTCCAGCAGCCTCACTATCATCTGGGAGCTGGTTAAAAATGCAGACTCTCAGTAATATTGAATATACTAATTATCCTGATTTGAGGATCACATATTGCCTACAGGTATTGATATCCAATGTGATGCCCCACAGTATGTACAATCAATTATGTTTCAATAAGGAAAAAAAAAAGAAAAGGAATACAAACTTTCGGGCTACAGCCCAGACCTACTGAATCAGAATCTCCAAATTAACAATATTCTCCACAGGGTTCATTTGCACATCAGAGTCTGAGAAGCATTGATTCAAACAACTCCCTTTGGATTTCTTTATGGCTGATGTGTTTTAAGTTAAAATACAAAATGAAACACAACATTGTATTAGGAACAGAATGTTCACAGGTCCACCTATACTTTAGTTCTGCCCTTGTGTTCTTTACAAGGAAAAAATACACGTGGAGGAGTTGAAGGGAAAGGAAGGATGATGGAAGTAAAAGGCAGGATAAGCTTGAGATGCCTAGGACTGAAAATAAAATGAGGACCTGGCAGCATTAACTTGGAAACTTGGCAGCCCGGGTAATTATAACGCATGGGACATGCCTCTTGGTACCAGCAAGTGATTGTGGATGGACTGTGGGAATGCTGAGGGTCAAAGGAATGGGGGTCCTCTGAAGAACCAAAATTCATGGGTGATAGATACAGGAGACAAGATGTGCTGGATTGCCACGCTGCGTTAGAAGTAAAACCGTGCTCTCTCCTATAGATTAGAAAGACCACGGTGTACTTAAATAGTGCAGTCAATTGTGCAAGGTTTTAGCAATAGAAACTGCATAAAGATGTGAGCAAAATCATCTTGAAATTTGACTGGTCAAAAAAAGAGGCAAGGGGTGGAGAGAGTTAACCTCAGCTGCTTAAGTAGCATAGGCTGCTGCCAGGAGGAAGTGCAGAGCATGCCCACAGGCAACGGGAGGTACAAGCCTGTCCAGACCATGGCTTCAAGAAGCAATAGCCAGGCCCACGGGGGAATGTCCAGTGCTCCTGCACCATGGCTTAGAAGAGGGCCATAAAGAGGGGCTGTGCAAGCAGTGGAGCGAAAGAGGATTGATCAAGCGTGGAGCACTGCAGAGGGGCTGGCTGAAGTGGCAGAAAGTGAATGGAAAACAGCAGGCTGAAACTGAACTTGTTCCTTGCTGTAAAGGAGGGGGCTCTGGTAGTCATATCAGGGGTGAGATGCCAGCTGCTAAAGTGACAGTGTGATTGTCTCAAATAAACCTACTCATGTGGCTTATGAGTCTCTACTAATATTTTTTAGTTTATCACTTCCAATGTATTTGGTGGTTTCGAAAAATAACCTCCATCCCATGCTTGCCACCCACTAGACTTCATTTAGGATTCCTGTCTTTGGTTCCAAATACACTTGTTCTTCTCACTTGACAACCAATTCACACCTTTCCTAACACCAGGGCCACAATGAAGCCCCGCTCTCAGCCCCCACCCCACGCTCACCTGTGCTGCTGTAGAAGGCCAGTTTAGTGGTGGTGTGGAATTCTTGAATGAGGAACTGAGAGAGCGAGATCCGCTCATCTGTCTTTAAGGAGTCGTTGCCTTTTTTCCAGTACAGCATGAGGTCATCTTCTGTGTAGGCATCTAAAAAGATGGGAAACAGAATCAGGCATGAGGCATTGGCAAGACAGGCCTGTGAGGCTACATGGAATATGTGTGTTGTGATCTCCCGCACGAGCTCTCGGGATTGTGAGAAGATAGTTTGAATAAGCAAACTCCAGTCTAGGCAAAGCAAAACAAAATCTAAAAAGGACAAGGCTAATTCTCCCCAGGCTCCCAAAGGCATCAGAGTAAAGCTCTCAAGCCTAAATGCTCATAATTCCTGCAAAAGAGCTCACACCACAATGCAGCCTGCGATTTATTAGGTTAAACCCAAAGAAATTGCTATTTCTATAGGTCAGAAATAATCAAACATCAGCAAAGTTTCACATGGTTTGGCCTTTTGAATGGGTAATTTAGCCTTTCTTTCCTTCTTTCAAAGTATAATGACTTATCAATTGATGGCAAATACCTTTAAACACTATCAGGTAATAAGGACTGCATCCTGGGCTGGCC